TTGCGGACTCTCATGGAAGCTCGCGGAACTGAGGCCGTCGACAAGGTAACAAATGCTTTAAGCAACTTTTCTCGCATTGTTGATAACACTCAAAGCGACCAGCGACCATGATGACATCAGCGTCATCAGAAATTCTTTTCACCAAACAATAAACAAATATCCACTGATCACTTTTCACTGATCAAAGCTCATTTGATAAAGGCTAATGTTATGTAACCACAATATAAACTGAAAGTGGCGAATAATCGGAATCTATTCCACTAACCATTCCATCAACTCACTGCGACCGAAGATAGTTTTGGATCCAATAATTAATTGTATTTCAGCTGAACGCTGAATATGGTGGTGCTGAAGAATTGTGTAGAATGTTGAAAGTGGATCCACTACATGGTCTTCCGAATGATCTTCAACAGCTTACGAAACGTCGCGCAAAATTTGGTTCAAATACTATTCCACCCGCAAAATCAAAATCATTCTTCCATCTCATTTTTGATGCCTGCAAGGTCGGTTTTGCTCAAAAAAGCCGACAGTTTCATAATCGTAGAAATTCGTTTTCTCCGTTGCGATCCATAAATCGATGTGGTCAAATCAGAAATTGGATCCTTGGATCAAATCAGTATACCAATTATTGTGATTTCTGATCACTTCGAGTTGAAAAGGGTTTAGCATCAACTGCTTCCTCATGTTCTATCCCGAATGCACAATGACTTCTCCATATCGTGAATAACCTTTTGCTTTACAGGACCCGACCTTGGTAATTCTTTTGGTAGCTGGTTTCATTTCATTGGGTCTCTCGTTCTATGAGCCCGGCCAGGTTGTTCAAGGACAGCAGAATGCGACCAACATTCTCAGTAGCGCTAACGCGAACCATACGCTAGAGGGCTTGATTGGACTTTCAAATTCAACATTTCGGAGTAAGTGCTCTCATAAATTTGATTTGTTCCTTGACTTAATCAGTGAATATTTGCGGTGTAAACGTATTAATTTCATCGTACGCCAGAATGAATCTGCACTGGGTCATGCATGGACCTGAAGAATCATTTATCTTATGATAAGATCTGCAAATTCAATATCCCTTATTTCCTGAAAACTAAGATTCCTTTTTGGAACAAATATGAGTAAGGAGCGCCTGGAATAGGCCATACCCCATTGTAACTGAGCACGAAGGAATTTTTTGAATAAGTTTCACCACCTGGATTAAGACGAATCAATTGTAAAAAACTCATCTGCAGTCGACGAACCGACATCGGCGAACGAAGATCATGGTTCAGCATGGATCGAGGGAGTGGCAATTCTAATCTGTGTTGTTGTCGTTGTTCTCGTCACAGCTATCAATGATTTCTCGAAAGAACGACA